CTGGAAACTGCGCCCCGTTGTTGACAAGATTCAAGAGCGCTTTCTGATGGGGTGGTCTCTTCCTGCTATTTTCTCGTTTGATGAGGGTGTGCTTCCGGCCACGTCGAAGCGGAACACGACCCGGATGTTCATGGCCGACAAGCCTCACCGCTACGGGTCCAAACTCTTTATGGTCTGTGACGCAAAGACGGCATACTGGTACAGGTACATTTATTTTAAGAATGTTCTATGTCGTAACTATCTACTTTGATCCTGTCTGACAACTTTGAATGGCGTAACTTTCTAGGTTTGAAGTTTACGTGGGTAAGCGTGCATCTGCTGGTGGACCTGACAACTCAGTTGACTATAAAACTGGAGCTGCAGCCGTGGTACGCAACTTGAAGGTTGTTCTCGCTCAGGCTCGCCACATGTGGCATACCGTCGTGATCGATCGCTACTACTCGTCCGTGCTCCTTGCGATCGAGTTCCTGAGTTTGAAGGTGTATGTTATTGGCACGATCATGACTAACCGGCTTGGATTTAACAAGGATCTCGGGGCCACAAGCAAGACACGCCCAGCGAGCATACACCACGGCACATTCTCGTTCTCTCGCTCTGTCGCGATCCCAACCATGATTTCCTGCGTTTGGTGGGACCGAAAGCCCGTACATTATCTCTGTACGGGGTCCGTTATGGCGGCGTAATCAATTGAACGAAAGATAAAGCGTATTGGTGCTGTTCGGGTGCAGTGCCCCTCTGCTGTGAATGACTACAAGAACTGGATGAGCGGAGTTGATATCCACGATCAACTTCGGCTCCAGTCATACTCCCTGCAAATGTCGACGAGGTTTACGAAGTATTATAAGAGCCTGTTCTTAGGCTTGGTGGACATGGTCATGGTAAATGCGTATCTTACGCACAAGGAGGGGGCCAAGATCAAAGGGGCAGTGGCCATGAAACGCTCAGAGTGGTTTTGCGTTCTCCAAAACCAGCTTCTCCAACTCAAAGCTGAAGATTTTGCTGGCGTGGAGGCAACGCCGCCTCCAGCGAGTCAGAAACGTCAGCGCACTCCAGTTCGCCTCACGCACGCGCTCCAACAATCTGAGGACTGGGTCACTGTCACTGGGGTCCAGAAGCGCCGGCAGAGATCGTGCAAGGTCTGCGCTCTTTTACGCACTGAAAAGAAGAAGTTCTTCGCAACAACGTTCTTCTGCGAACGCTGCTCTGTAGATAATGCCAAGTGTTGGTTGTGCAACAGGATTCGACGGGAATACAAGGGTGTTGCGAAGACATGCTTCGACATCTGGCATGATGATTTCGACGCTGGCCAAGCTATTCCACCAAACTTGGGGAAGCGCATCGTTCTCCGCCGCCCTGGCCAGAAAGCTGGTCAAAGAAAGAAGACACGGCGGGAACTTCGGCTTGTACGCGATGGCGACAGTGACGATGGCAACGGCGGCGACAATGAGAATGGTAGCGATGAGGAGTGATCCTGGTCTGCGTGTCAGTTGATTAGTGATTTGTTCAATTACGCAGTTTCTTGAATCATCGTACCTTCATCCTTGCGTTTCTTGATTTGACTGGACTATCTGTGAAGCAAATCAGCCATCAGTTGACTGCACATGCAGTCAGTTATGACATTGAGATGGCGACATAGCTGATAAAGGCCGTATGAGTTACGACATTGAAAAGAAAACCTGTTGAAAATTAATGCACCTAACCTCATGTCAAAAAGTACACACATACAAATACGAAGTAACAACGATATGCGCTTACGCGTTCTGGGCAAGTACCGTCCGGACGCAAGGTGTTAAATAGAGAGTATAAGCTACAGCACGAAAACGACTCTTAAAAAAACGAATAGAAGAGTCGTTCTGATTTTCATTACGAATTGTCAGTGGTGCTTAAGCTCACTTGCAACAAAACGCAAGTGATCAGAAGGTCAAACCGGTTCCCCCTCCCTTCAGCACCAACGATGACGGACAACGATGGCAACGACAGCTTTGCGAGTGACTTGCTTCTCCGCGGAACGGCACATTCGCTTCAGCTAGAGCAAGTCGAGCGTCCTTTACACATACACAAAGAGCTAACTAGATCTAAATTTCCCTGTAATGACCGGTTGCACCTCTCTTTTATCAGGCCTAGCACGCAGTAAAAAAAAATACTTAAAGCGCTTGGCCACCGACCGTAGATTTCAGACAGCTGAAGCCTATTAGGATAGGAGACGTGATGCAAAGTGATACAAAGGTCATCGAGAACTGGGGGAGAAGAATCGTAAAGCAGAGAGAGCTCATGAAGACGTAGTCTAGCTGCCCCTCCAGGTCGCCACGGAGGCGTTTTAGACGGGAGGCGTCCAGTATCTTCTTTCAATGCGGCAATAAGTCCATTTACTTTGCTCTCGGAGTCGATGGTGATGGGGGGTCCTATATTCTGATTCCGTTCGTCGTGCTATTTGCCAACGAAAGTTTGTGTCTCAAAAAGTGGAACGAAACCAAAGGCGCAAAAAATTATCAGAATTTATCAGATTTTCCTCTGATTTTCGTTTCGTTTTGGTTGGCTTTTGCTCTCTAATATCTACATATCTCCATTTTACGATCGAATAAAAACTCCGGAACCGTGGATAAAAGAAGTATAACAAGTTCTTTGGACGGTAACATTGATAACTGAGATGCCGATAAAGTGTGAATTTCGAAATAACCTGCCATGTAGTGTATCTCCATCGACACCTAGTTCAAATCCTAGTTCCGTTGTTAGGTGTGAAGTCTAT